ATAGGATTAATTTTATAAAATATGAATAAGACTCATTTTATAAAAGAAAGTGTGCTCAAAAGGGTAGACCACAGTTATAGTCGAAGTGAAAATCAGTTATGGAACATGTTATTTCCTCACTATTCAGGGAAATGAGACGTTGCTGTACTTGTCTCATAGTTAACAACTTCAGCACATTTTGAATTATTTTTAGTTTTCTAAATAACAAAGTGGGATTGAGTCTATTAAAGCAGAGGTGCCATCTTTTTATATCCTCCTAGCTCACAGCCTAGTACCTGAGCTCATTTTATAAAAAGAGAAATTAAAGACAAGATTCTCTATCGCTTCTTTCTAAAAAATCAGTATGTGAAAGGGAAAAAAATGATGGTCACAGGACGGCATGAGCTTGATAAAGGAGTGAGGATGAGGCCAAAAAAAAAAAAGCTTTTGGGAAGTGGAGAGGGTAACAGAAGAGACAGGGTTTAAGAACAGAGAAGAACTCTCTGGTTCCCGTGAGGGTTCAAAGAGAACAAAAAGAAAAACACTGCTGGAAAACGCAAAACTTCGTCTTAAAGCAGGCGATCTATGGGACAGCAGCTGGGAGCCTGGGCCCTGTTTCTCAGATCAAGTCTAATTGCCTGCGCTCCACTTTTCCGCTGTTTCACTGATAGGAAGACCTCACTGGCGGTTGATTTTGACAATGATCAATTTACTCTACGTGTATTCAGCTGCTTCTCCGACCTCACAGCACTTCTTTCATTCCACTCTAATTCTCTGTCTGCCTCTAGAGGGCTGCGATCCCAAGCCCTCCATCCCTCTCCCTATCCTGTAGAACAGAGCCAACTCTCAGTGAGTGATGTTTCAAAACCCTCTGCAACGAACGCCTTTGTAGAAGCCGCCCCTCCTCGTTCCCTCTCAGGTGCAGATGAGAAGTGGGCGCCCAGAGAGTCCGCACCTGGAAGCCTAGGGAAGCCAGGGGAGCAGCTGTGATGTCATCCCGTCCCCGGCCTATGACACTCAGGGGGGCTTGGCCGCCTCCCCAAGCTCGGGGCCCAATTTCAGGCAGCCAGGGCATCGTTCAAGCCCAGAGACTCAACTCGTGCGCTCCGGCCTTCCTTTCCCGCACACACGCCCAGCAAACCCGGAAAGCGTCTGCACACCCGGGGGGAACGGGAGGACAAAGAATGAAGGAGTGGGGAGGAGGGGGACACAAGGTACCAGCCCTCGCAGCAGCCGGGGAAGGAGGAGGCAGCGGGGAAGGGGGGAGAGGGCTGGGAAGGGGCTGGGCGCCGCGGGGGCCAGGAATGGGGGCCAGCGACACGCAGTGCATCCCAGTGGCCAGTCGACGGGCAGCCGACCGACTCGTCTCCCTTCGGGGGTGCAGCAACAGCGGGGGGGGGGGTGTCCCAGAGAGAGGAGCCGCGGACTCGGCTCCCCGCAGCCGAACGCCCGCTGGGCGAGAGCCGGAGCGGAGCCCGCCGCACTCACCTGCCCGCGCCGCCGGGTCCCCGCAGCCGCGCACTCCGCGCCCGGCGCCGGACCGCGAGGATGAGCCCCGCGGGGCGGGCTGGGGGCGGGGGCTCGGCGGGAGGGGGCGGGCCGCCGGGACCTTTGCTCGGCGACCTCCCCGGCGCCGCGACACGCCAGCGGGACGGGACCAGGGCAGCTGGGCCGAGGGCCGCAGGGCCGGGGCGGGGCGGGGGCAGCGGGCGGCGCCCCGAGACCCGCCCGAAGGCCCGGAGTCGGCAGGTTCCCTCTCTTTGGATGACTCCGCCCTCGCGGGTTGCTGACGCCCCGGGGCTCCACTTTGGCCAGAGTCCCGGCCAGCTCTTCGGGATCCGAGGCCTGGGCGCACGGGAAACGCCTGGGCCTCATCAGAGCAGTGTGCTCGGCTTTCCTCCCCGAGGCCTCATCTCCCGCCCTCAGTCCCGTGAGGTTTGAAGCCTGCCCGGGTCCCCGCCACCAACACTGGGGTGCGGACTGGCACCGTGGCTTCACCGTTCCATTCGGCAAATCTGAGGCTGCTGTAGCCCGTGGGGAGCCCCTGATGTCTGTGCCTGGGAGTGTCCAGCTTTGTATGGTGCGACTGTGCCCACACTTGGTCCGGACATTATTCATAATTCATGCAACTATATTCTAAACTCCTTGAGGGCGGAGCGCAGCATCCCTCACTATATGCTCAATGAAGGAGAGAATCTGAGCATAGTTGGTGCTCAAAAATTGCCTGCGGATTGACTGACTGAAACATCATATCCCTTCAGTCGGTATTTACAGATCATCTTTTCTAAGCAGTACTCTGCTAGACTGAGAACAATGAATGAGAATAAGTTTTTTGTCCTTGGAGAACTTGGATTCACCAGTGTTGAGTTTGTTTCTGCCTTCTACACTCCTGGGAAAGAAGCAGGGCTTTCCCTTGGGCCCCCATATGTTCTAAGCATATCCCTAGATTGCAGTTACCCCACCTCCTTGTACTTAGTAAGACTCTTCCTAATATTCAAATCTAAAGTACAGGCAGTCCATCAATCCACAGGAACACTCCCTAGTTCCTTGCCTGCTTTATTTTTTAAAAATTTTGTTTATTATTTATGAGAGAGAGAGACGGCGTGGTAGAAAAGGGGCAGAGAGAGGGAGACACAGAATCTGGAGCAGGCTTCAAGTTCTCAGCTGTTAGCACAGAGCTGGACAGGGGGCTTCAACTCATGAACCATGACATCATGACCTGAGCTGAAGTTAGAGGCTTAACGACTGAGCCACCCAGGTGCCCCACCTGCTTTATTTTTCTCCTTTGCACTGATCATCATCTGATGGGCAATACACATCATACGTATTTCATGTATTATCTTTCTCTTCCTTAGAATGTTAGTTCATGAGACTACAGACTTTTGTCTGTTTTGTTTCACTATACCCCCACCTAGTACACAGAGTACCTGATGCATGGAAGATAGTAAATAGTTGTTAAATTAATTAATGCATCCTTTTGTTTGATTTCCCAACGAGACTATGGGGTCCTACCCATCTGTGCAGTGCCTGGCACAAGGTAGGAACACCATTAATGATAGTTGAATGAATGAGTGAATAGAAATGGTTGAGAGACCTGATCCCTGTCTTGCCAAACTAATAGGTATTAGAAGAAAAAAAGAATCTCTTGGCTGGATGCCAAGAGACTTTTCATCCATGCTATTGCTTCTCTGTGTTCAGAACCTTGTATGGTGGTGACTCTGGCTTGTTACCACACCTAGGTCCTTTAGCTTAAGAACATCCTTATAAACAGCATGTTCATGAAGTCCCCACAGAATGATTGCCAGCCCCTTCTAGATAGGTTACCACTTACAACTGAGACTGCATGAGCTTTCTGTTGCAACAGTTAGTTAGAGGCTTCAAATTCTCTTCACTCTTGTTCATTGCCTTTCAGTTAAAAGCCTAAGAAAGCCAGTAATAATATTAGCTGCTAACATTCATATGGCACTCTCTAGTTACTGGCACAAAACATTGTTCTGAGTTCATTGCATGCATTGACTGACTCATTTAATCCTCACAGCAACTGGTTGGGAGTCCAAGTTAGCAATGAGAACGTTGAGGCACTAGCCAGGAAGCTCACCTAGCTGGGAAGAAACAGCCAAGATTTAAATCCAGATCATTTGATACCCTCTGAATTTCTTTTTTTGTAATTGAGATATAACTGGCATGTAACATTGTATACATTTAAGGTATACAATATGTTGATTTGGTATGCTTTTGTATTGATAAAATTCATTAATGGGCTATCTTGTATAAATGAACATATTAGTTATCCAGGTCTGTATGGTTGCCATAACTACTTCTAGTTCTTTGGGAGTCATTTTTGGAGAAACCTGGAGTCTCTTAGATAAATAGCCACTATGGAAGAGAAAGAACAAACACAGGCTTTGCATCAGACAGATATGGGTGAAATCCAACCTACTACTTACCAACTGAGTGACAGGAGGCAAATTTCCTACTTCCTGTGTAAAAAATGACTTACAGTATTGTCATGAGATTAAAAGAGAAAATCTGTAAAAAGCACTCAGCCCATAGTAATCCATCAGTAATAGTTAGTTTCCTTTTCTTTATTAATTACTTTCTAGTTAATGCCACTTTTAAATTGAGTCTAAAATTTTTCACCTATGTATAATTTTGTCTTTTACCATATTGACTGCTTCCCAGAGGAAAGCATAGCTACTAACATAAATTAACAGAAAACTTGGCATACATTGATAGGTATTTTTAAACCAATTTATCTCCCTGAATCCCAAAAGTGTTTTTACTGGAGACTGTAATGCCAACCCATATTACCAATTACTGCTTTAAAATAAAAAGCTTTATGAAGGGTTGAATATAGGCCCCAAATTAACAGCCTGTTTCTTTCAGGGTCTCCACCATCTCTTTGTACAATTGCAAGGCATAGATACGGACAGGAGAAAAGTGAAACTTACGTGGTGGCCAGCAGGTAACTAGCCAAAATTATCAAGATTTGAAGCCTCAGTGCAAATACTATTGGACAAATAAATAAAATAATTTGTTGTTCAAATTATAATTTGCTTCATGACAAACTACCCTAAAACTTAATGACTTAAAACCACCACCATTTTATACATCTCAGGATTTTGCAGGTCAAAACATTGGGCAGGGCTCAGCTGAATTATTCTTCAGTTCCACATGGCACTGACCACGATAACTCAGCAGAATTTAGCTAGTGAAGGACCTACTCTGGCAGGTCCACGATGGCTTTACCCACAGGTCTAATGCCTTGGCAGGGATGGCCGGAAGGCAGCACTCAGCTGGGATTATCAAGCATATCTCCTTACATGTGGTCTCTTTAGCATGGTGGTCTCAAGGAAATTAGACTTCTTATATGGAGGCTCGGGGCTCCAAAAGTGAGTTGTTCCAAGAAACAAGGCAGAAGCTATGTTTTATGACAGCCTCTGAAGACCTGGAATGCAACTTCCACAACATCCTACTGTTGAAGCCAGCCTAGATTCATAGAGAGGGCAGTTATACTTTACCTTTCAATGGGAGAAACAGTGAAGAATTTCCAGACACCTTCAATATATCATGCTTGTTTTTATGAAAGAGAATGGCATTGGGGCACCTGGATGGCTCAGTCAGTTGGGAGTCCGACTTAAGCTCAGGTCATGATTTCGTGGTTTGTGAGTTTGAGCTCCACATCAGGCTCTGTGCTGACAGCTCAGAGCCTGGAGCCTGCTTCGAATTCTGTGTCTCATTCTCTCTCTGCCCCTCCCCCCACTTGTGCTGTCTCTGAAAAATAAATAAATATAAAAAAAATTTTTTAAGAAAAAGAAAGACATTAAATAAACAAAGTTAGTAAAACTCCTATATTTTTGTCTATTATTCATATATCCTTGTCAGCATTAAGGATATTTGCAATGAAGACCAAGAATCATTCACCAGATGTCAGGTTTATAGAAACATTCAAGAATGGTGCAATTCAGGGGCCCCTCGGTGACTCAGTCAGTTAAGCCTCCAACTTCGGCTCAGGTCATAATCTCAAGGTTTGTGGGTTCAAGCCCCGCATTGGGCTCTGTGCTGACAGCTAGCTCAGAGCCTGGAGCCTGCTTCCGATCTTGTGTCTCCCTCTCTCTTTGATCCTCCCCTCCTCACGCTGCCTCTATCTCTCTCTCTCTCAGAAATAACTAAAATGTTAAAAATTAAAAAAAAAGAATGGCACAATTCAGAGTTGTACGAGCTTTTCTCATCCCATTATCATTGTTCTTAAAGATTGTCCAGCGTCTAAGTCAGCTACACCCAGGATAGTGAAAGGCAAAGTCCATGCACCCAATATTTTGTTAATTTAACAAATATTTGTTAAGGATGTGCCTATATGCCCAGCCCTATATCAGATACTGGGGATATAATGGTAAGAGAGGGAAATGTAGTTCATGCCCTATTAGCCTGGGAATATATCTGGGAAGGCAGACAGAAAAGCAATAAGGATAAAAGATGAGAAGTTCAATGATCAGGTACCATGGGAAGGCTTGACGAGACCATCTAACATGGTGGAGGAAGAAAGGTCACTGGGTCAAGTAAAGTCAGGTAGGATAAGCTGAGCAAATAAATCCCCAAGTGATAATGGCTCAAAATACTAGTAGCTTTTTTTTTTTTTGGTCAGTGAACAATTGAAGATAGTTCCAGAGTATGGGCAGTGGCAGTAGAGGAGGGTAGTCTCTGTTCCTTCAGAAACCAGACTGGGCTAGGTGCTGCCATTTTCAGCTCAATGTTGCCCACATTGCCTGGGCACAGACATCTCCCGCAGGCAGAGAAGGAAAGCACCTTGGAGGCTCTCTCACGGAATGTGTTTCATGGGCCTGGCCCTTTGACGTTCCTTGTTTTGGCCAGAAATTAGTCCTGGGGTCCCTCTGACCACAAGGGAGGCAGAAAACGTAGTCTTTGTGCCCAGGACGAAAAGAGGCAGTTGGTTTCCAAGAGACTCCACTTCTAAGTGCCTTTGGAGGACAAACCAGTGTTGGCCATGATCCTAGTTTCTAGAAAGAATCCTAATAAGGCCAACCCAGACAGCTAAGTAAACCATTTTTAGTTTTGGTAACTTACTTTCAGATTATACAACACGTACTATGCAAAAAATAAATAAATAAATAAAATCAAATCAAATCTTTATTAATCCTTCATCTCGTTTAAGGGATATCTAAGAAACAGGGATAAAATGATGGTAAAGTGGGTGAGGGGGCACTTGCATCTTCAACAGTTATTACTGATAAAACTTCTCTGAGTTTTAATTGAAGAGGGAGCATGGGAGTTGTATACACATTTTTTTGTTTGGTAAGGTTCTTAAAAAGGCTAATTACAATGGAAAAAGCAATTTGGCAAGAAAAAAGTGATCTTGGCATCTGACTCAATCTTGACTGATTGTGAGAAACACAAGTACAATAAATTTGTTAGTCTGAACAATGGAAGAGAAAATAGCTCCAGAAGTTCAGCCCCTGCCACTTCTGGGCACCTTTGACACCATGAAAGATTTTTTACTTTGTTTCAAAGTGTTGGTAGAGGTGTATCTTTTTTTCCTAACAGTCTGCTTTGAAAGCTTCAAGCTTCATTTCCCCCCCAGTTTTCTCTAAGGAATTAGATGGCCAATAGGACATAGCTACTCAGGCACCTCCCAGCTCAAGTAGGGCTCACTTTCTGAAAGTAAATCCATCTTCCTCTGTTACCATTCTTATAGTAAAACAATGAAGACATCAGGGGCACCTGGGTGGCTCAGTTGGTTGAGTGTCTGACTTTGGCTCAGGTCATGATCTTGTGGTTTGTGAATCTGAGCCCCAAGTCCGTGCGGGTAAGCTCAGAGCCTGGAGCCTACTTCAGATTCTGTGTCTCCCTCCCTCTCCTCCTTCCCTCCCTCCCTCCCCTCCTCCTCCTCCTCCTCCTTCTTCTTCTCTCTCTCTCTCTCTCAAAAATAAACAAACATTCTTAAAAGAGTGAAAATATCAACACTGATGGTTAATTTTATGTGTCAACTTGACTGGGCTAAGGGATGTCTAGAGAGAGCTGGTAAAACATTTCTGGGTGTGTCTGTGAGGGTATTTCTGGAAGAGATTAGAATTTGAATCTGTTAGGCTGAAGAAAGCAGATGATCTCATCAATGCAGGTGGGCATCAGCTAAGCCCTCCAGGCCCTGAACAGAACACAAAGCGGGAGGAAGGGTGAATTTGCTCTCTCTGAGTTGGGACATCCATCTTCTTCCCTCAGACACTCGTTTTCCTGAGTCTCCAACCCTCAGACTCTTATTACACCGCTGGCTTCCCTGGTTCTCTAGCTCACAGACTGCCGACTGTGGGACCCTCATTCTCAGTAATCATGTGAATCAGTTCCTAAAATAAATCTCCTCATATGTAGATATAATCCAGATGTCTATATATAGAATAAAACAGAACCATTAGGATATAACTATATACATCTGTAGTTCCATAGAGATATATAGAAAATTTGTCCCAAAATTTTTCTATGTCTATACAGATATATCTATATATTTATGTCGATATACAGTTGACCCTTGGACATGGGTTTATACTGGGTGAGTCCACTGATATACAGATTTTTTTTCAATAAATATATATTTGGTACTATAAATTTTATCTTTCTTATGATTTTCTTAACATTTTCTGTAGCTTATTTTATTGTGAGAATACAATAATACATAATAATACATAATACATATATAAAATGTATATTAATCAACTGTTTATGTTTTTGGAAGGGCTTCCAGTCAATAGTAGGCTATTAGTAGTTAAGTCTTGGGAGATTCAAAAGTTATATGAAGATTTTTGTGCGAGGGGTGGGTATCCCTAACCCTCCTCCACCTCTCCCAGGCTGCTCAAGGGTCAGCTGTATTCTATTGGTTCTGTTTCTCTGGAGACTTCTAACACACATACCCAAACCCAATCAAACAAGCATATCCCACTGTCAGTCTGGACAGCCAATTAAGAAGCTCAGAACTATTAGAGAATTGACTTGCTGAAAAAGCTTTTAAAAGAACCCAGTAATTCTGATTTGGGAGGTGAAGTCATGTGGATATGTGTTTTGACCAGGACTTTGCAGAAAAGGATCCAGATCATTCAAACAAGCGTGCTCACAAGCTCCCATATGTCTTCTATCTCCCTGCATATCAGAAACGGCCTGCCTGCGCAAGGGTAATGCCAAACATTCTAACGATGATCAGCCTCACATTCTAGAGTTAGAAATAGGCCAGAATGCAAATATCCCGGGGGAATTCACCCTGAATCAATCACATAAGACATAAATATTGATACAGAGTCTTTCTGAATAGCAGGGTTTGATCAAGAAGTTGAAGGATACATGGAAGGCTTAGGAAAAGGACACCACTATTTATTTCACAGCTTTACTGCTTGTAGCTTAGTTAGAATGGTGGGCACCAGGTTAGATATGTATCATCGCTACATCCTTTGAAGGCTGACTTTGTGTCCAGCATGGTGTCTTATGTAAATTATTTCATTATGACTTTGTACAACTCCATAAAATATTATTATCCCTATTTCATCGATAAAAAAAAAAAGCTGAATCCTAGAGAGGTGGCCTGCAAGTCTGGCACAGTGGACACTAGGATGTAACCTCAGGTCTGAGCCTAAGCCCTAACTTTGGACAGCTACCTAATAAGTGAATTTGGAGGAAAAGTCAAACATTTAAACACAGTACTGAAAGTTCACCTTCAGCTTGATTTTTTGATTGATTAAATTGCTTGATTAATCAATCAAAACAGCGTATTACTTTTGTTCCTAAAAGTTCTCTGGAATACTCACTCCTAAGACAACCCCTGGAGGCCAGTCTAGTGATTTCTGTTGCCTGATATTAAAATGTAGTATTTTTTTATGTTTTCTAGAAATCTCTTCTTCTAGGAAAGTGGGAAAACCAGCTCTTCTGGCTTTGGCTGAAGTTTTAAGGGAGGGAGAAGTTGCAGGACCTTCCTTTTGTTTCTTTTAAAGTTTTTGTTATTTCTTCTAAAACTGCCATATAATGGTCAATGTAGGGCTAAGAAATCTGGGATAAAACTAAGTTTAAAATCTTTTATTATCCATAATATCTATAAGAACCTAAAACATTTTCTGAGATCATGATATTAGAGGCTGAGTTTTCCTCTTTTATGTCTTGTCTGATAATTATCTATGATTAGAAAGTCCAGAAAAAATGTTTTTTGATGACTCTCAGGCATGTTTGTATAATAATTATTATTTATACACTTTATTAAATGCCATCTGCTTTTGCTTTATTAATGTTTTATTAAGGACCATCTGGCAGTTGCTACAGATGATATAGGCTCTCCAATGAGTAGGTTCTCACCTGTGAATATATTATCAAGTGTCATGATTAGCAAAACAGAGATTAAACTGGGGAGAGGAAGGAACAGGAGACCAGGACACACCTGTCCCTAGGCTGCCCCAAGCTGGTCTTGTGGACAGAACGGTCCTTCTACCTCTCTGGGCCATGAGTTTTTTCTTAAAACTGAAGGTTGGACTTAGTCTCTGAGATCACTTCAAAATTTAAAGAAGTATAATG